AGAACCTAGAGCAAAAGAGTCGCCAACACGTTTTAGGGACTTGTAAACCGTTCACAGGGTGAAGGTTACACCCCTTAACGATCCAGGAGATCGTTAACTCCATTAGGTCTGGAACCAAGACTGGAAGTTCGGGGATGAAGGTACAAATCTAACCTAAAAGATATTGAACCTGCCCTAATAATAGGCCTCTACTTTATTCTGCTCGTATTCATGTGCGCTTTCTGACTAACATGCAATCAATAGGATTAACCCTAAACTTGTTTATCTATGTTGGCTGAATATTAATGCACTAACAAAACTATTATTGGCGATCACTTGAATTATAATCATATTAACCCTAAAAAAGATTATTAATTATCTTATTAAGCATGATTACAAGTACAAATTCCCTTAAAACATGCATAAAAGGTGTGATCAAGCAATAATAATAAATATAATCAAGCAACATAATAATTTTCAAATTATATACTACCTCCGGTACACATTAGATGCAACTTTGGAGCTCTCACGGAATCCAAGATAAAATTTCATAATAATTAATTAATGAATCAAAGAGTAAGTAATTAAAGGTAGGAGAGAGAATGAAGATAATTAATCACCACCACCACCAACAGCAGTCAGCCCACTAGGCTACCACCATAGCCAGAACCACCACCACCACCACCGTAAAACCACCACCACTCACCCAGTTCACCGCAAAACCACCACCAACAGTAGTCAACCCACTAGGCTACCACCATAGCCAAAACCACCACCACCACCATTCACCTAGAACCACCGCAAACCACCAGCACTCACTCAGTTCACTGCAAAACCACCACCACTCACCCAGAATCACCGCAAAACCACGACCGTACTAACCCAAACCATTGCAAAACCACCATTACTCACCTAGAACCACCGCAGACCCACTTTGCTCACCAATAACCACCCCTTAACCAACCCGAAATTAACCCCCTCACCCCAAAACATCAGAACTCATCTCCCACTCACCCCGATCCATCTCGACCCACCCTTACTCACCCCAAAACAACTTAACCACGCTGAACCCACACCACCATAAACCTGACCAAGTCCCGTCGAACCCACCCTGAAAACCCCAAAACTAGTCAAAACGTTCCACCACTAACCTCGATCTACTCGAACCTACCTTGAAAACCTCTTAAACCACCCAATACAAGCCCAACCACCCCTAGTTCATCAGATCTAAAGATTTGATTCAGGATTTGATTAAGAGAAGAAGAGAGAGAGAGAGAGAGAGCTAGAGAGAGAGAGAGAGAGAGAGAGAAAAGAGAGAGAGAGAGAGAGGATCTGATTCTTGAATTGCGACAAAGAGAAAATGACTGCGCGCGCGATGTTGAAGGTGGTGGTGATCGGTGACGTTGAAGGTGGTCGTCGTCGGAAATGTTGAAGGTGGTGTTCAGTGATGTTGAAGGTGGTGGTCTGAGGAGTTGTGAAAGATGAATGGATGGAAGTTGAATGGATTTTTTGAGTTTAGGTTGATTGTTGATTAAATTTTATTTTGGGTAAATTGAGTTTGGTGAGAAGAATTATGTTAATTAAGTTTTATTATTATTTAATGAATTCTAATTTAGTTGTTTAATTGCGTTTATGATATTTTGAGAAGGGCATTTGAGGAATTTCATTAAAAAGAATTTACTAAAAAAAAAAGAATGGGAAAGTCGCATCTAATGTGAATTTTCCGTTTTTGGCAAAAGTTGCATATAATATTTTCCGGAGGTAGTATAAGTTATCCGTCAATTAACAAATAATATGAAATGATTCGTAAATTCGTAAAAAATTCGTAAATTAACAAATCACGTGAATTAACAAATTACGTTAAATTATATAATTCAACACAATAATAATCATCATAATCATGTTAAAGCATAATATTAATAGCAAGATCCTAGGCATGATACTAACAAGCTAAGATTAATAACAAACCCTAGAATGTCACTAAACAATAAAGATCAAATATATAGCCCTAACATGATACTAACATGATATTAGGAAAGAAAATAAGAAGCATTCTTTTAATCATACTTGATATTAGGAATTTTAGTTGTCACCCTAAACATGATACTAGGAAGCAATAAAACATCCTAACATGATACTAGGAATCAAAATAACAATCTAAGCATGATTTCTATATCATAATATCAAAAAAAGCAATTAAAGCACTTACTTGGATGCCTCGTACCTCTTTCTAATAACAAAATACACACGTCAGTAACTTCAAGGAAAATATAAAATTAAACAATTAAATCAAATAACTGAAATAGAGAATCTAAAGAAAGCTAAGTTTAGACTAGATTTGGGACCAAACCCTCAGAAATATCAAACCTTTCACGTCTAGGGCGAAGACAACTTCGAACTATGCTAGGTGTATTTAGATCTTGTGAATGCGGAATTTTGTTTGAGAAAAACTAGTTTAGAAAGAGGGAGAGAGAAAATATCAAGAATTTCTTGATGAGAATTGGTGAGAAGAATTGATGATTAAAAACGGAGGTCTAAGGACGCTATTTATAAAGAAAATCAACCGGATATGATAAAAAAGAATCAGAGTTTCGAAAAGAATAAAAAATGACGCTGTCGCCAAATACACGCTTGTTTCTAGACGACAGAGCGCTATCGCCAAGCGCCAGGGTCTGTCGCCAGGGCGACAGTCCTGTCGTCCGGCGCTGCAAGACACTTTTTGCGGATTTTGTTTTTATCATATCTTTTGATTCAGAAGTCCAAATAAGTCATATAATATGTCCTTGGAAAGCTCTTGAAGTATCCTTTCCAACACAATTAGAATTAGATTAAAATCTTTTGTAGATATAAGATATAGCCGAAATAGTGGAAGGGTGTCAGTTTTGGATAGAGTTTCATTATTTCATATCTTTTTGGTTATAGCTCGGATTTAATATTATAATATATCATTGGAAAGATAATTTAAAGATCTATCCAATCATATAAAATTTTGGATAAATATTATAAGGCACGAAAATAATATTTGAATATATTCCACTTCGTACAAAACAACGATTCTTAAAAGGAGTAGTTTTATTCAATTTCAAACTCTTTGAAACATAATTATCAATCCCAACTCCATTAGGATTTAAGAGAACCTTCTAGAATATTCTAAAAGACTATAATCAATCCTAATAGCTTTAGGAATAATAATTAATAATAAGCCCTCCTCTAGATCATTAGGCCGAATGTAAGAACCAAACCGTGCCCAGTTTAGTATTTGGGCCATAACTTCCTCATTATTCATCGGAATTAGGCTTATAATATATCGTTGAAAAGGTCTTTTCAAGCCCCATCCAACTACACTATTATTGAACCCTTATCATGGACCAAACTAAACTGTAATGCACGTTTTTCATAAATAGGTAAGAAAAGAAATATTTTCAAAAAAGAAAGAAGAGATATTTTAATAAAAACATCCTCATCACTAGACTTTTCACACTTTCTCTTTGTTTGATAATCAAATGACATGAATGGTATTCATCACTGGGTTTGGTTTTGGCAAGACACATTTGGGTGTCTACAGGAAGTATGTTATTTCATGATTTTTGCCTCAATAGTTGGTTTCCTACTAATAATAATTTGATTCGTGGAATTAATGTGTATTGTGCTAATGTTTAATCTTGGAATCACAATGTTTTTGGTAATTTTAAAATAGAAAAAAAAATAGATTTCTTGCTGGGATTGATGGTATTCAGACTTCTCTAGCTAAAAGTTACTAGAGTTTCCTTGATAATTTGGAAAAAGAGCTTATTCAACAGTTGGAGTCCATTTACAAAAAAGAAAGGATCGTTTGGGCTCAAAAAGCGAGTTTTAATCGGAGGAAATTCAATGATCTCAACACTAAATACTTCCGCCAAAATTAAAAAATATTACAAATTTTTGTATGTGGCTGGCCACATGGTGCGACAAGGGTTATTGGTTTTGTCAGGGGTTACTTGTAGGTGTTACTTGTATTCTGGAGTTACTTGTATGAGAGTTACTGATTTTGGTCGGGGTTACTTATAGGGTGTTACTAGTTTTGTCAGGGGTTACTTATAGGTGTTACTTGTATTATGGGGTTACTTGTATGGGTGTTACTAGTTTCGGTCGGGATTACTTGTAGGGTGTTACTGGTTTTGTCATGTGTTACTTGTATTCTAGGGTTACTTGTATGACTGTTATTGGTTTTGATCAGGGGTTACTTGTAAGGTGTTACTGATTTGGTATGAGATTTTGGTTTGGAGTTACTCAGAATACAAGTAACCCCACGATACAAGTAACCTCATAATACAAGTAACACTCTACAAGTAACCCATACAAGTTAACCCATACAAGTAACCCCAGAATACAAGTAACCCTAAAATACAAGTAATGGTGCCGCACCATGTGGCTTGCCACACTAAAAAAACATCTGAAAAAATATAGAGGAACGATATGATTTGGAATTAAAAGATATGGCTTCACCTTTTTCAAAGATATCCTTACCTCCAAAATTAGCGATGATAACAATCCTGATAATTTTGCTCCTAATACTTGCATTTCCAGTGAGGATTCTTTATCTCTGAATAGAAATCCTTGTATTGATGAAATTAAGGAATGTCTATTTCATATGGAACCCATAAAGTGTCCTAGGCCGGATTGAATTATGGAAAAAAAAATTTCAACATTTTTGGGACGTGTTGGAGGATCTATTTTTGAGTTTTTGAATCAATAAATTAATGCTTTCGTAATAGTTGCATTCATCCTGAAATTAATCACTCATATATTGTTGTGAGTTTACACCTATTGGGTTGCGCAACACAATCTATATGCTTATTACTAAACTTATATCTGATAAATTAAAACCTTTTCTTAATAAGCTTTTTAGTCCTCTTCAATTGAGTTTTGTTAAAGGGAACGGAATAGAGGACAATGTTACTGTGATTAAAGAAATAGCTCATCTCTTCAATAAGGCAAAAAAGGGAAAGAATATTGCTACTCTCAAACTTATCCCTCTAAAACATATGATAGCTTGGAAGGGAGCTTTATCAAAAGCATTCTTTAAGATTTCAAGTTCCCTACTCCTTAAGTTGATCTCATTATGTGTTGTATTACCAAACCTAGAATCTCGATTTTATGGAATGGTGAAATTACAAATGATTTTAATCCCTCTCATGGTATTAGGCAAGGAGATCCTATGTCTTCCTACATTTTTGTCTTATGCCTTGAGAAACTTTCTTCTTTGATTGAGAGTAGTATTAAAACAAGGGCGCGCCCCAGTTTCTCTCTTTGAGAAACATTTACGTTTCTCTAGTGGCAAAGTGGTAATAAATCGCATAGGGATTTGTAAAGAATTGTTTTTTAAACCTAAAGAATTGGTGATTGTGCGTTCCACCGAAGCAGATCTCGTGGCACATTGAAGACGGAGAAAGAGGCGGAACTTAACGACGTTATTCGACAATTGTCCAATTTATCATTAACCCCATCACTAACTCCAAAGTAAATACATGGTAAAAGTTGAAGTAACTGCGTCCAGAATTACCCAAGCCACGCAGTAGAATTTTCAAAACCCTTTGTTGAACGGTTACCGGAGCTTATCTTCATTGTTGTAATCTTATCCGATCAAAGTGGTGTCTTGGTTGTAGATCGAGTGAGCAGGTGGTGTGGTGCGCTGTCCAGATCTGAGGTGGTGCTGTATGTAAATCGGGCGACCAGGAGGTGTGGGCTTGATTGTAGATCTGAGGTGCTTGATTATAGATCTGGAGGTGGAGAATTGAAGCAATGGAAGGTTAGTCTCGATAGTTCTCGGTTTTTCCATATATGAAATCATATGGTGTTTGTTAATTAGGTTATAGTGTTGAATGTTCTTGACCGTATAATTGGTGAAATTTGTGATTTATTATAATATATTGTGTTCGAGGAATGTCATGCTTTATGAATTAGTGTAATTGGGTTGTAATCGCTGATGGTATAATCGCAGGTGTTGATTTTTTTTTATGGTGTAATCGGTGTATATTTGGTGATTTGACTGTCTTGTTTTATTTGTTATTTATTTAAATGTTGGTTCTATTTGTGAATCTGTATGTTGTTACTCAATGAAATAATTAAAAGTAACGCAATGCCTGAGTTAAAGAATTGTGATTTTCTGATATCTGTTTACAGAAATCTGACTGTGTGTTTGTAAACTAAGGATACTATGATTGTGTAATTTACTATGATTGTTATTATTATTATTATTACCAGGTGATTTTGGTGTGGAAACTGAAACTGATGTCCTTTCCACTGAAAGGTGTATTGGTGTGGGGATTGATGATGTGGGTAGTGGAGTGAAATTCAAGGTCGGGTTAATGGAAGGGGAAGCACTTATTGAAGGGGAAGGGGACTTAGCAGGAGTTCTGGATGGAGCAGGGGATATGGATGGAGATGGTTTGGAGGAAATTTTTATTGAGGATAGTTTAGGTAACAGTTTAGGGGGCTTAACTAGGGATGTCAACGGGGCGGGGCGGGGCGGGTTTTTTGCATTCCCATCCCCATCCCCGCCTCACATTTCCATCCCCATCCCCACGGCGGGTCTGAAAATTATCCCCATCCCCGCCCCGGCGGGTCCAACTCCAAAACCACCCCTGCCCCATCACCATGTGGATATCCATCCCTGTCTCAACCCCACGTAATCCCCGCCCTGTACCCACCAACTCCCCACCTTAAATCCACCACAAATAACATATTTAAACCATTATAAAAAAAATAAAAAAATATGTACTACAGTCTACAGGCCTACAGTTAACAGCTAACAGCTCAAATAAAAAAAAAAAAAAAATTAGCAGTACATACTTAACATAATTAAAAAAAAAAACACAGTAACTAATATAATACACTCTAAACAAATAAATGTAACTCTAAATTGTCTAAAGTCCAAATATTAAAAATACATAATAATAACTCTAAGCCTTCAATTATTCTGTGTAGTGCAAACTTCACTTGTACTGGAATCGATATCTCATGTTTCAAATTCTTCCACTAATTCTCCCACCAATTTAGCATATTCATCATCCTTGTATTCTCTACAATCTGAAAATTCAATGTGACTTAATTAAAAAAAATAATAATAATATTATTAATTAAATAAGATTTATAACCACCCACAATTAAAGAGACCAGAACAAGGGTAATAAAAATAAAAGTATGCCCTCTGTCCAGAACTTCAAATTAAATGAAATTATCAAAACATTTTCTAAACTAATATCAATATCATGCAACTCAAAAGTACAAGTAATTACATTATACTCGGTGTAGCAAATTAGCAACATGTATATCCTATAAACTAAAATTTGTAGTAACTCATAAATCATAACACCAAACAATTCAAAGTATCAGACGAATTAGAGTCAAATTAAACATTCAGAAATAGATTAGTTAGAATCTAGGACAGAATTATGGCTAATCAATTTCTTAGTTGATTTGTCAAATTCTTTTTCATCAATAATTGGGGAAAAAATAATTGGGAAATTAAAATAAATAAAAAAAACGAGTAAGAGAGATTGAGATAGTACCGATTATATAGGAAGAGGTAGGGATTATGTAGATCGGAGTGTTGATCAGCGCACAACTCAGCGGCGAGATTCAGAGGTGGTGATTGTATGATTGATAGAGCTTGAGAGGAGAGGAGAGGAGAGTGAATGAGTGATAGTGTCGGCTAGGGTTGAGAATGAAAATGAATATGGTTTTTTTTTTTTTTTTCTTCTAGAAGTCTAGTGTCTAGAGACTTCCTTAATCAAGTCAGTAACATTATTTTTTGCTGTATAATATTTAACGAAATATGTTATTGCATTATATGGGACGGGTCGGGTATAATGCGGGTATGGGTCAGGTGTGGGGTTGGTCAGGCGGGGCGGGTATGGGGTGGGTCAGGCCGGGCGGGGATGGGGCGGGTATTACTTTAAATCCACCCCCGCCCCATCACCCATGGCGGGTATGGATTTTAGACCCATCCCCGCCCCGCGACCCGCCAAAGCTAGACCCATCCCTGCCCCATCGGGGCGGGGATGGGGCGGGTCTCCTACTAGACCCGCCCCACTGACATCCCTAGGCTTAACATCTGGAGATGTAATTGAGATGGGTACTGATGTGAATGGTGTACATCATTCAGAGATTGGAGAAAGTTCAGACAGTGCTCGATATTTAACTCCTATGAAAACAATTCAGACGACTGAAACTGTAGTGGCAAGCAATCAAATAACGGTCCTCACTGTCATTGAGCCTCCTAGGGTTGGCATGGTTTTCAAAACTTGGCAAGATGTTGAAAGCTACTACAAGGATTATGCTGAGCAACAAGGGTTTGGAGTTTCAAGGGTGCAAGGAGTAAATTCAAAGAAAGACAGGACTAAGAGAATTGCTAGTACATGGAGGTGCGAGTGTTGGGGAAGACCCGACATGAGGGCATTCAGGGAAGCGAAGAAGCATGCAAAAGAAATGGAAATGATAGGACCAGGGGCAGTTGTTCTTCCTGATGTATGTGAGGCTGATGAGACTGTGAAAGGAAAGAGAACTTAAAAAAAATGTCTATGCAAAGCAAAAGTATACGCCAGCCTGAATGATGAGGGTGATTGGGAATTGAAGACGGTTGTGTTAGAACACTCGGGCCATAATCCAACCCCAAGTAAGGCGAAGTTGGTGAAAGAATATCGCATGAAGCAAATGACATCTAATGTTAAGAGGAAGTTGCTGAAGTATTTTGATCAGGGAGTTTCTGTGTCTCAGTTTCATGGGTGTTTGGGGACAGATGTAAATGGGATTGATAACTTTTCGTTAACTGTGAAAGATTTGCAGCATGAGGTATATAAGGCGAAGCGGTTGAATATGGTAGGTGGGGATGCGGTGGCCATGATGGATTATTTTCAGAAAATGCAAAGTGGGAATCAGAATTTCTATTATGCTCAAAGGTTGGATGAGCACGGGCGTCTCAAGGATGTGCTGTGGATGGACGCGAGAAGTAGGGCGACATATGAGGATTTTGGAGATGTCGTCTGCTTTGACGCCACGTATCTAACAAACGAGTATGAGTTGCCGTTTGTGAATTTCATTGGAGCTAATCATCATGGACAGTCCTTGCTGCTTGGCTGTGCGTTAGTTTCTCGTGAAGACTGTGACACATTTACATGGATCTTCCAGCAGTGGCTAACATGTATGAATGGCTGAGCCCCAGCAGCCATACTTACAGATCAGGCAGCTGCTATGCGAAGGCCGCTACGCGAAACCATGCCAAATACACGCCATCGGTGGTGTATTTGGCATATTCTTGGCAAGATTCCTGAAAAACTCGGCAAGTATGCTAGGTTAGTGTTTCTTTATTCATCATATTCAGTCCTTTACGTGTGTTAAGTATTCAGTCTATGAATTTCTGATATAAATGTTGTAAGTTGAGCTCCTTTTTTGGCTTGGAGAACTGTCTATTTTTCATTTGTCAATTACATTTAAACAAGGAATATCGTGATTAGTTGAAACTTTGGTGGTATTTTGTGTGTGCTAAATATTGTCATTTGTAATGTACTATTTGTGTGCACAGGTACAATGATTTCAAAAATCCTTTGAAGGCGGTGGTGTATCAAAGCTTTACTCCTGAAGAGTTCCATAGCAATTGGGCAGACTTTATTACTGAGTATGAGCTTCAGGATGACCCCTGGCTGGAAAGCCTTCACAAAGAGAGCTACATGTGGGTCCCTGCCTACATGAAAGAATATTTTTGGGCGAGGATGAAGACCACCCAGCGGGTTGAGAGCATAAACAGTTTTTTCGATGGGTTTGTGAATAGGCACACCAAATTGCATGAGTTCCCACGTAAGTATAGCATGGCGTTGGCGAAGCGTGTTCGTGATGAGATTAGCGCTGATAGCCGTTGCTCTAAGTATGTTAGGAGGTTGGTCAGTGCTTTTAAGCTGGAGAAGTTTTTCCAGAAGATATACACGGATAAGAAATTTCTAGAACTGTAGACTGAATGTGCAAGGATGTCTTACTGTTATGTAAGAAAGGAAACTGTGATAACTGATAATGTCATTGAATATGTTTTGGAGGATAGGATATGGATTGTGCCCCTGGAAGCAGTAAAGAAGTGATAACTGACGGTCGGAGATTCTACACTGTAAAATTTTTTGGTGCCACAAAGGAGGTGATTTGTGACTGTCGGAAATTTGAAACACATGGCATTCTTTGCAAGCATTGTATCAGAATCTTAGATCAAAATTTTGTATTTGAACCCCCAAAAAAGTACATTTTGGATCGCTGGCGGAAGGACATCCCCCGTAAGCACACCCGGGTGAAGGTGCCATATTACGATCCTTCTGATGATGTTGTGGGGAGGAGATTTAACAAGATGATGACCTGTTTTGAGCTGATTTGCGATTCGGCTGCAATGGTTGGTGATGAAGCTGTTGATGTGGTCATGAACAGTGTATCTAAACTCAGATCCCAAGTCGATGAAGCCTCCCGTAAGAAACGGGATCAAACTAAGGCCATCAGGTGTATTGCTGCTAAGAACAGAACATCACCAGGTCAAGCGGGAACCACATCGTCAGTCGGGATGCCTGATGCAGCCCAACACACTAATTCGGAAGGCAATCCGCTTGATACCCCATCAGGTGTAGCTGCAACTGCTAATGTGAAGGATCCCATCATAAAGAAGAAGCGGCCAGGTAGGCCAAAAGAATCTAGGCATAAAACGTTGGCCGAGTTAGGGTACAGAATACCAAAGGCAAAAGCGAAAAAGGGCAAGGTAGGTAATCGTTTGTTGCATATGTCTTATGCGTTCTGATAAACAGTATATGCAGTACTGAGTGGTTGGTTTTTACTTGATATATGCTGCAGGGTGTGTCACCCGATGAGTATCTAACTTCCCCTGCTGAACCCCCTACCCAAAGCAAGTGCAAGCGTAAGGGACAGACTTTGATCAAGGTATATGCAGTTAAGGTGTTCATCTGTTTGTGTTTTATTAAGTTTTCACAACTTGCAGGATAACCTTGTTTTACTAATTCTTTTTTAACTCAAGGCTGGGAATAACAAGAAGCAGAAGAAGGGCAACATCAGTACTCAACCGATGTGTAAAAATAGGCCCAAGGCAAAGGCTAGCACCCACAACGAGGCAACTGGCAGCAGTACCCCTCCAGTTCTAAAACCCAAGAATTACACCAGGAAAAAGGCCAAGTCGACCATCCCTTCAGCAGTAAAACCCAAGGCCAACAACACAAACTCAATGGCCAAATCCACCATCCCTTCAGCTGCAAATCCCAAAGCTAAAACAAAATCAATTGGCAAGTCCATCACCCCTTCACAACTAAAATCCAAAGCCAACAGCAACACCAAGCTCAATTCCAAAACCAGTGATATAGCCAACACATACAGGGTATGACTTTGGCCTCCAAATGTTTATTTTTTTTTATATCTTAATTTTTTTTGTTAGGTGTACAATGTAGGGCGACATTGGCATTTTATCTGCTGTTATCTATATGCAATTATGTATCTTCTTTGGTTCCTTCACTAAGATACTTTGTGAAATGTTGGGTTTTTGTTACAGGTTACCCCAGCAACTCAGACTTCATGTGTTCAAGTTCCTGGTGAAAAGGGAAAACTACCTGTAACATACTTAACACCCCTTTCCTTTGTTTCTACTTTCATATTTTGTGTCACTTATCGTTGGCTTCCATGTTTGTAGGCTAAGCGGAAAGGTAAACCCCACGCCCTGCTTGACAGTGCTAATTGGGTATCTGACTTGTCGGCCACATTCTAGTGCTTCAGCACAGACCACGTATACAACTCTTGGTGTCAGCAACAACTGGATTCATACTACCTGGTGTACACATATATTAGGACACCGATGCCTAGATCAGAGCTATGTTGTTGATGATGCCTGCTTCGCTTTAAGTGTTAGGTGTTTTTGTCATTTGGTACCTTGTCGTCAGTCACATGGCCTCTTTATTTTGCTTAAACTGAATGTGCAACGTGTACTTTGTGGCCTTTTGCACCTGTTTAACGATTTTCCCTACTGCTTGCTTGATGTCCTGTGATCCTCTTGGATCTGCGTTTAATGGTTTCTTAATACGTTGGATGCTTGTTTGAGAATGTATGGTTCCGGAAAAGGCCTAAGAGGCTGGCCCATTTGTTTTGGGTTGATCAACCTCTTTTTACGCACCAAAACATTCCTCAATTCCTTTGTCGTGGTAGGAATTTCAAGTATTGGTTTTCAATTCATTCCTTCAAGTTTAATGACGCCCCTATTTTGTTAAATTAACATTCACCTGACAAGTTCTGCATTGATTAACCAATTCTGTTTGTTCTAAATTTATTCCTTGTGCAATTGCATATGAATCGTTTTCCCCCCACCCTCATTCCATGCGTGTTCTGTCTTTTTGATAGGCTTCATAAAATGCATTTCCATGTCTCTGTTTTTAAGTGTCCATTTTCTCGATTTATGTCCCTATTTTACCAAATATCATATTGGTGCATTTATGTTTTAATAAACGAGTAATTATTTTTGGATTTGCTTGTTAGTTTCTGGATTTGTTCTTCCATGTATGCTACTGGTAATTTAATTTTCAGTAGAAACTTGGCTTCAGTGATATGTTTTAATACAATTGTTTGCTCAGTGTTCTTAGGGGAGTTTGTGGATTTCCCATTTTTTCTCACTACACCTATTAGTGTTATGCAATTAACAATTAGTTAAACTTTAAACATTTGAGTTTTTGTGTTTTCTTGTCAGTGCATGACTTCGAAATTGTTACTTACTTGCTCTGGCACACACGACACTTCACAAACATAACACAACACATTCATTACTTCATAGTTATATTACATACCTAAACAGTTAACCATTGAACTTAACTAGGCCTATTATGCCTCTCCTAAACAGAAATCATACTTATATTACACCTTAATTAGAGACTAGACACCCTCTAGGCTACTATAAATCCTACAAAAGGCATCTGAAGCACAATTAGCAGAGGGTGAAACCTAATTTTTACATTAAACAACACACAACTTAAGGACAAAAACCATCCTCCTTGTCACCGAATTTACGAAACACTAATCTTTGTAATGACTATGACAAGGCCAAAAGCAAACTTCCATGGCTGGTCTAACAGTTGGTGAGAACGAAGAGCTCGTCATCGTTCTTCACTTTAGCCCCACGCACGGTGTGGTATGGACTGAGCAACTTGTTATCATGCATCATGACTATGTCATTTGGGTCGACGCCCATCTCCTCACCCCACATCTAAAACAGCTTCCTAAAATGACAGTTGACACGAAAATGGAACATCATTCTCACTGGACCCTGCTTGATCCTTGCATCCATGTTGAAGTCCAGATTCTGCATTGTAAATGGTTTCATTTTAATTATAACATATTCATGTGAAAAGGTGGAAAACACAGGGATATATAACAGATACCAAATTGAATTCATAAAAAAATTAATAAAGGAGGAGCATTTTTACCTTAGGCCGAACAAAAAGAACATCACCATCGCGAATACCCGCCCTCGCAGGTGTGTCTGAGCTTAGAACCATGCCGTCGGCGTTTCGAAGTGTGAAATCGCTGGGGAGGCGGTCCACCTTCTCAGCGTAGTCGTAGTAGACCCTTTGGAAAGTTTGGCTGACCCTCATGCAGTACTCAATCCCAGGATCATTTGCTTTCATGCACTTGACTGTCACCGTTATACTAGGAACCAAGACAGTTGGTGGGTGGTTCAACACTACTGGTTGCGCCACCTGTGCAGCGCCATCTCCAACAATAAGTGGCTCTTCACCAGGTAGTATCACATTTGCTGGCCCAGGAGCGGCCGGTGCATCAGGTGCAGCTTCTGTTTGCTGGGCTCCTCCGTTGTCATGTTGTTGTCCTCCAGCAACGTTTCCATGAGCAACTAGGACAACGTCAGGTTCAACGTTATCAGCAGCCACCATATCTGCATCATGGTTTCCAGAACCAGGAAGTGACTCACCTGGCTTGGCATTCCAAGCAGCTCGTTCCTAGCTAGCCGCTTTTGCCTAAGGCGGGCAACCGTGTTACCAGTCATGGCTATCGCCAAGAGTGAGGTACGTGGCCTCATCCTCTTCCTCCGGCGGCGAGGATGCGTGGCCGTTGACATGTCGCTCTCGGTGGGGGATGTAGAGTCACCCTCATAAGAACTATCTGGTGGAAGGGGGTTTGAAAGGGAGAGTGGAGTCATTTTTTCTTTCTTTCTTAGGCTACGTTTGGTATGATGTCTTAGGTTTTTTGTAGTATGCTTGTCTTAGTATATGTGTTTATATAGTGGTAATGGTTATTGCAAACCCTAGCTTGTGTGCTAGATATTTGCATTTGTGTGTAATATGTTTGATAGAATAGGGCACGTACTTTTAAGACCCAAAGGGTTATAAATTTTAAAACTAAACCCAAAAAATGTTTTGAACAAATATTCATTTAACGACCTATCAACATTTCACCGATTATTTTGTTTGAACTTCGACTGTTGAGATAGCACGTTAATAAACCGGTATTCCATGAGATGACCCTTATTTGCGTATTTAACGTATACATACATATATTTACATATAATAAAAGTAAATAAGCGTTGTTATACTCACACATTTAACGTTTGCTTCAAAGGTTACATTTGCTATCGTAGTCTTTGCATATGCAACACACGATGCTAACACCTTTATTGAAATAAACAACACAGTGATTATATAGTAAATTTAAAGAAGCGTTGTTAATACTTCCATATTTTATGCGTACACATCTACAACATATTCGTTATTGAGACATATACTTCTGAATTTCTTTGTTTATTTTAATATCTGTAAATGAAAATTTACTGATGTCGTATACGTACTCACTCTGTACTTCCTCTTTTTTATTAAATTCATTTCAAATTAACGTTTTGCATTATCAAAATTGTTCTTCACACATTGTCATGGCTAGCAATTGTGTGTGTGTTTTTGGGCTTTGTATCTGGGCTGTCCCACTTATATAATATCTGTCAACACTTTCATTTCATATTTCCATCATTTTTTGGTTTTAATCAATATTCCAAACTTGCAATTTTGCTTTGATCCCAGCCATCCAATTGTTGCATCCAAAAAGTGACTGAAATTTGTTGTTCTTATCCAACCAACATCAACTACTTTCCTTATCCCATGCCACCATACTTTACTATGACCTACGCCACCCTATACAAACCCAGAACGCCTATGCTTGGGAAATCAAATTAAGGCATGGTAAAAATATGATAATTATGTACGAATGAACTACAACATTTAATGCAAAGCAACGTTGTTCAAGCTTCCTGAACAAGCTACCACACTTCATTTCTAATCTATCAGATTCACTCTTCACTTTATCCAACACGCAAAGCGTGATATACCAATTTCATAGCTTCCATTGCAACTCCAATCTTTGCTTCCTCTCTCGTAAATGTCCATATGTCTGTATTGATTTGACAAGTCAGTAAGTGTACTGATGCTTACCTGGTTCCAATGCGGACGTGAAGAGTACCCATTTTCTTCTCGTAACTGTAATTTTGAAAGAGTATGAATCCATTTGTTAAGAGGTGTTAATTGAATTTGATTAAATGATTGAATCCCTCGGATAACAGTTGTTAATGAATATTGTGATTGCACAATGCAATCACCAAAAGCTAGATTTCAGAATAACCGAGTAATGTCTAATGAAGGAGTTTTATGTTAATTGTTGTAATTTATTAAATTTCGTTATCACAAAAGTGGATTTTAAAAAAATATGTAAACCATATTACTATATATTGATTGAAATATATGCAGTAGAAATTAGCTTATGTTACGTTTTAACTTTAGCTTTTAAACTGAAATATTTATCTTAACGTTTACTTAATCCAACTTTCTCTCTTAAGCCCACTCTTAATCTTTGCATTCTAATTTATAACTCAATTTTAGCCAATTTGGTTAAATGTCTCCACTTATATTTTCGGTATCATGAATGTTTCGTTGCTACAGTACAAACTTAATCCAACTTTGTCTGTTAAGCCTACTTTTAAGCTTTGTTTTCCAATTTAAAAACCCAATTTTATGTACAGTTAAATTGCTAATTATTTACAAACCATAATATATATCTGACATACTCGTACTAGTTAATTCGGCTATAATTTCCCAGTTGTTTGCTTTACCCCTCTTGAGCTCTTTTTTTTCATCGATGAGTTATTTTTCTCAAAAAACTTCCTAAATTATTATTAAACAGTGGGATTATTTTTTCCTCCTCTTACTGCCTCAACTATTTGTATGGTGATATCTTAAACAAATTACAAAAACGTGACACTATATGCAAATTAATAAGTTTGAAAAATTAGGCATGGCACTATTGTAATGCATACCCAAAACTTAGAGCATACACAATGGTTGCCCAACCCCATCTTGGTTATTGATTATTTTATTATTTTATCCATCTTCCACCTCACTTATAACCACTCTTATAACCATTTAATAACCAATGTATGTCAATAGTTAACCATAATATTTTGGTTATACATTTTCTCTCTCCTACTTTTACCCAACCCCACCACACAATTTATTACTTAAATTCTATTATTATTAAATAATGCATTTGGTAATAATCATTCAAAATTAATAATTATTTATTAGCATACATTAATTAGATAAAATCTCAAAAATTTAAAAATAATGCAATTTTGATATTAATTAGTACGTAATTAGTCGTTAATTAAGACACAAACAATAACTTAATTTTTTTATTAATAATGACATTATAATATAAAATTCATTCACATCCTCAAACAACAACTTATTAAAAATATTCAAACTACAAATCAGACCTTAAGTACATAAAAAAGAACAATAAAAAAGGAATTATTTGAAATCAACCAACATTACGACAATAATCAACCATACACTAATACATTAGTCTGAGGGGAACAACTTCTTCAACAAAGTGCTCCTTAATTCTTGATCTTTCGAAGATAAGTTTGGCTTTGAATCGAGGTGTTTAAATAACTCCATATTAATTTTTCTTTGCTTCCTTGCTTCTTTCTCCCTTTCTAGTTGCAACCTTGTAAGTTCAACTTCATTTTCTGATTGCCTTATAAGGTTCATGTTCTGGGCAGTGTCCAACCATTGTTGCCATGCTCCACTTGGCATGTTTGGCACCTTGCTCTTTCCTTTATTTTTACTAGATTCGTTGCTAGAAGGAAAGCCTGAATACCCAATATCACCACTGGTTGGTGTTTC